GATATGTGCATGTCTGCAATCCCAACACTCAGAGGGCAGAGGAAGGAGAATCAGAAGTTCAGGGTCATCCTTGGCCACAAAATGAGTTCAAGGCTGACCTAAGATAATGAGACCATGTATTTAACAAAAGACAAAAGGGAATATATATATATATATATATATGTATATATACATATATATTATATACATACATACATTCATATATGGTTTAGTGTTAAGTGCAGCTCTCTTCCTTGGCAGTGGTCATTGGAGAAGTATTGACTCCAACAAGCCAAAGCCATCCGCAAAAGATGAGCATGGACTCACTCCCTAAAGCCACCTCTGATTTTTTTCTGCCACCATTCCAGACTCTGAAACTATCAGACTGGAGAATCAATTTGATTTAATTCCAACAAATGAATGGTCTGTTTTGTTTGTGCCAGGTCTAAGGTCAGATCACACTTAACAGAACTGATTGTAAAGTGAAAACTAAATAGATTTTTACTGAGCTCCAGCACTGTGTTTACATTTTCTCTGGAAGACCAAGAAAATAAAAGCACCTTTGCCTGCAATCATACAGAATGAATCACAAGGGAGAGCTCTTGCTTTGTGATTTACAGATCAAATTTCTTCACATTCCTCATTGACTACTTGTACTGTCCTTCTGAGGTGCAAATGATGATCATTTTCAAGTGGAGAAAATGAGATTAGATCCATGAGCTGATTGACTGTTCTCTCCCCAAGGTCTCCAAACCTCTCTGGAGTTAAGATGGCCTTATTTTAGTACTTTTCGTTAAGGAGCCTTTTCAATAGTGGAAGGAAATGCAAGTGTGATAAAGAGCCCCTTGTCTCATCTTCTGGATGTAAGAAAAGGCATGGAACTTCCACAAACATTTACCTCACTCTTTCAGGTAATTACATCCCTGCTTTGGCAGGGTAAGAAGCATATATTATATCAAGTAGCATTTGCAATTCATATCCTTGTGATCTTCTGGGAAGTTAGCATTTGAAGATGACTGTTGGCTGCCTTTTGTCCTGAACAGGCCCAAATGACAAATTCTTTCTTTGTCCAGCTCTCAGAAGAGCAGGACATGTTTGCCTTCCTATAGAAACTCTGCTATATATTTCACTAGTGTGTTGTCAACTTGACACAGACTCCAATCACCTGGAGAGGGAGGGAGCCTCAACTGAGAACTGGCTTTCATCACATTGGCTTGATTTCTGGTTAATGTAAGAGGGCATGGTTCATTGTGGGTGATGCCATCTCTAGGCAGTTGGGTCCAGGCTACATAAGAAAAATAGCTGCAGCTTGGTGGTGGTGATACACGCCTTTAATCCCAGCACTTGGGAAGCAGAGGCAGGTAGATCTCTCTGTGTGAGTTCAAGGCCACCCTGGTCTTCGGAGCAAGTTCCAAGACACTCAGGACTATACAGAGGAACACTGTCTCGAAAAGAGAAAGAAAGAGAGAGAAATAGAGACTCAGAGAGAGAGAGAGAGAGAGAGAGAGAGAGAGAGAGAGAGGGAGC